AAGTGACCGACACCTGCTCTGGTACTTCCAGGCTGCCCGAGGGCCCAGTCCATTCACTGGGAAATGTCCTCATTCACAAACAAGTTCTGGTAACAGGAGACATTTGGGAATCAAGCAGAAAGGATGCACAGGCTAATATTTTCTGAACTTTTCAGCTTTTCTTGGCCATCTCTGTAAGTCAGATTTCCAGGTTTAATGTACAAAGAGTCAGAATAGATATAATACAAGAACATGTTATTTAACTTTTATAGTTGAGGCACTTTAAGGCTTTCCACAAGGCCAACTGATCAAAAGCAAAGCCTCATTAATTTGGATTCCACTGTCTCATAAAACACAATGAATACTCCTGTTTTAAGCCTTTTTAATCCTTCCTGTTGCCTGCAGAATAAAGGTGACCCTTGTGAAAATAACGGCATTTAAGGCTTTGCTGACCTGGCTTCGCAAGACCTCTCTGGCTTTTCTGGGCCTGTATTGCAGGCCCACTGGCCCACATGCTCTCACTTTGCTTTGTGTGCTCCATTCTCTTTGGCTACAATACCCCTGGCAAAACCCAATCCATTTTACACAGCTGTCAAATGTCACTTAAGCTGTGAAACCCCACCTGGCCCTCCTGGGCAGCCTCCTTTCTCAATTCGCTAGTTTTACTCCACAGTTAGAACAGCGAATGAGCCTACTGTGTGCATGTCTGGTGCCCCTGAGAACAGAGTCTGTCTCACGTACCTCGGTGTTGCTAATTGACACCCTAGATTGTCAGGCCCAGCTGTAGCACCCCACATTGCTCTTATCACAGTCTTTCACTACATTCTTTACACAGTTTATTACAAATACTTGATTATCTTAATTTTCCCCTAGATGGGGGTCTCCCAACCTCACTATTTGAGCTGGTTAGTTCCTTGTTGTGCTGGCTGCCCTGTGCATTGCAGGACATGTAGTAGGACCCCTAGCTTCTCCCCATTAGATGCCAGGAATATTCCCAGCCCTCAGCTGTGAAAAGCAAAAACATCTCAGACTTTGCCAAATGTCCCAGGGATGGGGGTAAAAGAAATGAGACCAGTGCCCTAAAACCAGTGCTACCCACAATGTGTGGTCCATGGACCTGCCTTTGGATCCTGTTAGAAACAGACTCTCAGGCCCCACCCAGACCTGCAGAACCAGAAACTGGAGGGTGGAGCCCAGCAATCAGCCCTTTAACCAGGCCTCCAGGTGATTCTGATGCAGCTTAAGGTGGAGAAGCATCACTCTAGACAGGAAGCTTGCTTACAACCATTCCCACCACCATGCCTGGCCTGTAAGAGCAACTTAAATTTTTATTGATGGAATCTGCGGCATCTGCCTGACTCTGGAAAGGCAATGAAATAACTGTCCACTACCTACCAAAAGGAGCACTAAGCCCACAAATCACAGAACCACAGCATAGTAAAAGCGGGAGTAGTGCTTCTCAGAGGTTGTGCAATAACCTCTTTTGCAGTGATAGAAATGTTGGAATCCTTTCCATAAGGCTTCCAGCAGGGGGCCACGTGGCCTTCACTTCAGTAACTTGGAGATGGGTATTAACTTTGTACCACAGCCCATTTCGTTGTTAAACTTTTGGCTGTTAGAATCTTCTTTCTTAGAATGAGCCCACACTTGCCTTCTAAACCTTAGGTCTTGGCTCTGCCCTAGATCCGCATCTCTCCAGGTGGAACAGTGCCCAGAAGCCAAATTCTCTTTACTGAAAACCATTATATATTGGAATGTTTAGTTCCATCAAGCAAACTAAGGATAATTTTACTTGCAATAATGAATTATCCTTACATGTATATAATACCAAAATATCACAATTATGAGCCACAAAAACAACAAAACCCCGTAAAATTAAACATGATTACATTTAAGTATTTACATATTTATGGGAACTTATTTTCTTTGGGCATTTGCTAACAACCATTAGCAAGCAGCAAGTGTTTGTAGACACCTGCTGTAGTATAGCTTACCCATGTAATTCCCCAAATTAAGATTTTCTTTGAGTCGACTAATGCTAATAATTGCCAATATACAGCATAATTGAGATGAATTTGGAATTGGTGTTTTTGTGACTATGTTCTTACTTAGTGACTAATGCAAACCAATCATTTATTTCCAAGTTTGAGCATTTTAGTAAGACAACTGAAACAAATAATGCTAGGCCATCTTGCATATAATTGACACTCAATAAATATCTATTCAATCAGTAGTTTCATTTATTTCCATGTCTACCATAAGTTTTATTTAATTATCATATTTATTAGGCAATTATGGGATGTAATTTAATACCAAAAGTTAACAACTTGTTTAATGTGAACAAATACAGCCAAAAGTCAAATCTTTTCACTTTTAATTTAGTCTTTGAAACTTCTCACAATGGAAAACTCTACTGTGTGAGAGATTCTTTTTAAAAAATAAATTATATTTTTAAAAAATTACATAAGGAATATTAAAAAGGCATAGGAAAAATTGACTATTTTAACTTTAAATCTGGAAGTAACTGTTAAAAACAATCCAAATAAATCCTGAGAGGCAAATAAATCCAGAGAGGCAGATGTCATCTCCA